ATATTTAGATATACTTATAAATATGTATATATATATACACTATCAAATCATATATTTATATGTAATATAAATTATAAATATATACAGTTACTATATACATATATATTTATAGATACATTTATAATAACAAGTATACACACAGTTACAATAACAAAGTCATACTTGTTCCTACATGATACCACTATCTTGGGTACAACTGAGAATGTACTAAGCCTTTCCCTAGACAGGTTTCAAAGTTCTTGGGTGATATTCTTTTCCTGGATATCTGGTAACTTGAATACATAATGTACAGTTATTTGTTATTACTATATCTTATGTAGCAGTGATGGCGAACCTATGACACGCATGTCAGAGGTGACACACAAACTCATTTTTTTGGTTGATTTTTCTTTGTTAAATGGCATTTAAATATATAAAATAAATATCAAAAATATAAATCTTTGTTTTACTATGGTTGCAAATATCAAAAAATTTCTATATGTGACACGGCACCAGAGTTAAGTTAGGGTTTTTCAAAATGCTGACACGCTGAGCTCAAAAGGTTCGCCATCACTGTGTTAGAGGGTAAGAGAAGGAAAACAGATTTATTTGCTTTAATACATACGTATATAGACATATTCATGACAAAATAAGGAAGAGATACCTATAACAGTTCTGGTTTGCATTTCTGCATCTGGTCACATAGTCGTAGCTGGTATTGACGGCTACCTTCTTTCACTACCCATTCCATACTCTCGTTGCCCTCCACAAGTACCTTAGGTGGTCATGGTTCTTTGACTGATCCAACCCTTCATTCCTAAAACCTGGACCATTAGCATTTCAGCACATAGGACTAAGAGACACCCCAAGGAGTCACCCATGTTCCAGACATATTCTTTCTTACGTCTACTGTGTAGTGGCAGGTCAGTTACATGCCAGCCTGCACAGTGAATCCCTCCTTTGCCTGTTGATTCAGAGGTAAGAGGACCCAAAATGTCTGGATGGCAGCCTCAACTTCTAGTTCAGTGGAATCATTGTTGTGTTTTTGGAACCAAGACCTCCAGACAAGCAGAGCACAGGGCCATGGTCGGCAAACTGCGGCTCGCAAGCCACATGAGGCTCTTTGGTCCCTTGTGTGTGGCTCTTCCTAAGCCTCAGGAGTACCTAATTAAGTTAATAACAATGTACCTACCTATATAGTTTAAGTTTAAAAAATTTGGCTCTCAAAAGAAATTTCAATCGTGGTACTGTTGATATTTGGCTCTGTTGACTTATGAGTTTGCCGACCACTGGCGTAGGGGAATTCTGGTTCGGGCAGGAATGAAAGGGATCTACTACCTGCCAAACACAGTCACTGGCTAGAGCAGCAGGTAGTGTGGGGGGAGTGGCATGCAGTCTCAGTGTGCACTGGAAGCAGCTGGGGCCATGGGTCAGGGTGTGGGGAAGGCAAGGAGCACTGGTGAAGCGCCCCTGACCTAGCAGAGTGGGCAGGGGAAAGCCACTGCAGAGGCTGGTGAGACCTATAGCTCGGAGAAGGCTGCTTGACCTGGGACCTGGCCTTTGGCTGAGGAACAAGTCACTTCCAACCCTAGCCCAGCAGAAAGGGACCCAGAGGAATACATGCTCCAACCTCTTTCTCTTCCCTACTCCACTCCATCCAACTCTTGTTGGTACCTTCCCCTGGTCCAGCAAGGAAGTGAGGGAGCCTGTTGATACAGCCCATTCATGGGAGCACGGGGCAGGGTGGAGAAGGTAAGACACCAGTTCCAAGCTATGGGTGAACCATCCCCATCCTGCCCCATTCAGTGCATGCTTCCCTTGCCGACCGCATTCGGCCACCCACTGTCCCCTCTGCCTGAAGGCTCTCCGGCCACCCTCCCCTAGTTCATTCGTCCTCCTCTGGGGCTTAAACTTCTGCCTCCTGAACACGTCAGGCTCTTGTGTTGATTGTGTTCTTTTGCACCCTGTCATTCTTCAAAGCATGGCTCTGCTTATGACAACATTTTCATTCAATAATGATGTATTGAGCAATCATAACGCCAGCGGCCAACGTGTGCTGAGCGCTGATGCCAGACACTGTAACTATTTGTTAGACGGTTGTCTAGAGCACCGTCTCCGTGAGGGCAGGGACCACGTTGTGTCTTGTTCTTTGTTCTCGCTCT